GATCCGCTTGTTTCATTTTTAAAAATATGGAGAATAGCCAAAATTTAAGCCTATGGAAGGGAGGAGAGCGGAGGCCCACAAGGATTTTTCATTAATGTTCAGATACTGTAAGTTAGTGAGGTTGCCCACGCGACCATGCCTTCAGTTATATTTCATTAAATTTTAGGGAGGTTAGAATAATTTGATGTGAACTAGGAAGAACACAAGCAAATTACAAGAATGTAGCTCAAAAGCTTTAAACTTGGAGCAATTATCATCAATGCAAGTATCAACTTCCAATCTTCCTATTCTTTTCCCTCCGACCCAACACCGTGACTAGGGTAAGACTCAGTGATAGGATGCATATGCAGTGTGGAGCTTCAACTTGAACTAGGAGTTTTGTTTGGGCAATCAATAACGCGTGATAAATCTTCGTCTCTAGGAGTTTCCCTCCTGTGACTTGCTCTTTATGTTGCATATTTAAGCTTTCACCATCTTCCTCAAGAAAGTTGTCATTGTCTTCCCCATGCTTAGTCCAAACCTTATAGTTTGTCATGAAACCCCTATGCAACAGGTAACAACATATTTGCTCGATGTCTTGAAACCATTTTTTTTCTTTTTGCAACCAATATGTGGGCAGTATATGTTGGTCCATGATCCCTTACAAAAGAATCAGTGCCTTCACGAACTTGGTAGACATAGGCTCCAAACAATACATCCATCTACGATCCATCGATGAATAAACAATGGGTATGACATAAGCAATACTAAAAATATGCCACTCAACTTAATGAAAATGCCCGCTCAAAATCTATGATGCTCAATTTAATGAAAAAATGTCTATTAAAAATATGTGCCATCCAAACAACTATTCAATTTAATGAAAAATGTCTATTAAAAATGTGTGCCATCCAAACAACTATTCAATTTAATAAAAAAATGTCTTCTAAAATAAAGAAATTGAATGAGTGGCTAGATACCAATCTTAGAGTAATAATATTGGTGATGTACAACTTTAATAATTTGGGAGCTTACTCAAACAACTCAATAAAAATGTCCTCCAAAATGAAGAAATTAAATTAAAGAGGCTCTCCATCATATTCAGTCTCAATATATCGGAAACAACCTAACCAAGCAAATAAGCTAACAATTAAATTAGAGACTACATATACTAATCTTTGAGTAAGCTAGTGTGATGTGAAACCTTCAAAATTTGGGAGCCTCCATTAGGTGCAAGAAGTCTTCTAAAAGGAAGAAAGATGCTTTTCATGACATTCATCCCAAAATGAAATATTTAGCCAATGAAATAAGCTAGGAATTTAAAACGTTGCAAGCTACCGACCTTAAAACAAGAAAGTGATGTGAATCCTTCAAGAATTCAGATCATCCATGAGCAAATTAGTGAAAAATGGTCCTAACAATGGTGGGAGTCGGTGGCAAGAAAGTAGAAGGGGTAAGGAAGAAGAGGGGCGGCGTGGGGTTTTGTACCATACCATTTTCACTGCCAGTTCATGGCTTCAACTGGCAGAGGAAAAGATAAATATTACCGGTATGTTAGGAGGTGGCATAGTGGCTGCTCAAACGGGACATTTAACATTTTGCCATTATGTGGCAGAAACCCTCTCATATTTACTACTCTCACAAAGTGGTAATTCATTTGCCACTAGTCACCACCCTCTCGTGATGACAATAAATTAATTATTCCTTAAAGCGGCGAAAAAGATTTTCACTATCGGATTGAACGACCACCACTCCTCTTGTAACTTCGGACCGGCTACATCAACAACTTTTGCAAAACAGTATGCTGGTGAATACCAAACTGCAAACACATATTTTGCAGTACAGAATGTTGAGATTATAGAGTTCTATGTGTTCGCATCGCATCCTGTCTCTCTTGTCTCCAAAGTATGATTCGATTCGTTGTGCCAAAACTGTCACCACAGGGCACAGGCCAGCCAACGCATTCTTTTTTCCGTTAATATGTGTCAGATCAGATGATAAGTAAAGGAAAGGCTTGTCGGCTCATGCATGGGACCGCAGGCAACAAATTAAAACTAAAGGCCCTAAATGTTTTATCTTTATTTACCCTTTTCATTTTGAGGTCTATAAACTTTAGCTTTACTATTTCGCTTAAACTCAGGAAGCAAAGGATCTTACGTGTCCAGGAATGAAAGAATCATCCTTTTTCTTTATAAAAAGCAAAGAAGGAAGCAAAGTAACGCAAGGTACATATACTATGCAATATGCATGCTTTGGTTATGGACGTTTCCCCCATATAGCTAGGAGTATATCAGATAGCTAACTTTATATGCAATTCACCGCTATATGTTTATTTAGCTTAGCTTGTACGTCGTCTTCGACCTGAGGCCTCACTCAAGGTAACTACACAAAACATGCATCGATCTCATTTGCTGGTTGCTTCTCCAAGTTTATATGCATATGACGGTCAGCCCGAGCAAACATAGAGTACGTGAGTCTAATTACATGTACTACTAAATACACTCACTGACACAGCACTATGTATACTTTGCGTCGTATGCCCTTAGGAACGAACCAAGTCCGGAGCTTTCTGGTGATCGATCGATCCATGGGGTAGAACTTCGCCAGCTCTGAAGCTCTGCACGTAGACATGGGGAGTGAGGTACATGCATTGTATTATATTTATTTATTCTGCAGATTTGTTCCTATACTTAGGTGCCGTTCGGCTGACCTTAAAAGTCGGCTTGTTCGACTTCTTTTTTTTTGTCGGAACAATGTTTTTCTCTCGTAACAATTCAGTTGGAACAGTATTTTCAACCAAATTCAGCCAAGCCATCTATATATATGTTCTCTTCATTTTGTTGGAGAAAGACTATAAAAATGATTTCTAGGTGTGCCCCTATTCTTTTTCACACTTGGCTGAGAAACAAAGACAACCATTTCTAGAAATGGACAAGAGGGGCTAGTATCCAACAGTCTCTGAGTATCGGAGGTGGTTCATAAGCTGAACTATCTCTAGAAATTATCTATTTGTAGAGATGGACCTTCTTACGAAATGTCCTGTTACTAAATCAATTTTTAAAGACGGTCAAGCTGGCCTCTAGAAATAGAGGCTGCACGATTAAATGTATAACATATTCATATAAAGTCAGATCAAGATAAACTCAATATTAAAATTGTAGAGCTCAATTATATATAAAATTTATAGTTAACAATATTTTCAATGGACATCATTTATGGGGGCCGTTACAAGATTCAGATCTATTTTAAAAGTAAATGTCGTTCTTTTGTTTGTAGATTAGAGGTAAGTTGTTAGTTCAAGAGGCTTGCCCCTATAGAAATATTTCCCACCTAAAATACTATAAGATTTTCCTATTGCAATAATAGCAAACATGTGTGCAGTATAGTGGGATGGTATGGCATACTCATGAGAGGTTTGAAATCATGGGTTTGAATTCTCTAGAACTGGAAGCATACCCGATGCATTGATGCGGGTATTGCAAATGATTTGGAATTCAACTAGATTACATATAATTACTTATATGAAGGAATAAACTATTACAAATTAATGTTAGTGGATGGCGTAGCATGCTCATAAATGCATGTTAGTAGATGATGTGTCTTGCTAACACATATATCATAATCGCAGATGTTAGTGGATTATAATTGATCTAATAGTGAATTGTTGAGGTGTACGGCTTGCATGTCTAGATAGAACACTAATAGAGTTTGAGATTATAAGACAGCTTGGGAGCAAAACAAAAAAGCATTTTTTGTGTTGTTTTTCTGGAATTGCATTTATACGGATGGTTTCTATGGAGGCCCACATCTAAAAATGTATTTACAAGAGTGATACCCTAGAAATACGTTATTTTACAAACCCTTGGATAAAGTCTGGGAAAAAAAGGAACTCTATACTTGTGTGGTGAACTCAATTTAGAATTTGAGCATTTCAATTCATAATTAGTTAGTTCACTACTCTCTGGGATTCGAAAATTCGGTCCTCACCGGAATTTTGGACAAGTCCACTAATTCCGCTTGGGACCGGAAATTTCGATACCCGTGATTTAATCCGCTGCAAAAGTTTGTGAATTTTAGAAAACGCCTATTCAACCCCCCGCATTTTGACCCTTTCAAAATTTCAATAGAAGAGAGAGAAAAACTGGCTCTTGATCAAAAGCTAGACTCTTATATACACATTTCAAGATAATGTGAGATTGTTACATGGACCTAATCATATATTATGAGCTACTTCTAAAAGTTAACACTATTGAAGAGATTGTCTTAGAGCTAGTAGCTAGCTCGTACTGTTGTGAGATGCCCTAAGTGCCCAAGGTCAGGCCCTTATAGCATTAACCATTACTGACTCCATTCCGTTTTATTAGGCCAGTCTTAGTGAAAGTATAAGTTGTTGGAAACAATTTAAATAAGTTTTATTCCCATAAAACTCATTTCATCACATGAAATTTTTATCATCTCTCTTTATTTATACAATGTCCCTAAGACGTGCTAGAATGGCACGGTCTCCTAAATTATACTTTGTCCATTTATTTACTTTATGTTTATATCATATAATAACTTATGATATCGGATAGTATAAATACTTACAAATCTAACGGTATCAAGTTTGCATAAAAAGAAACGGAGGTAATATTCTCTTATTCTATGCATTCTTCGTTATATTTAAAATTTAAATGCTATCTCAGTGACGGGTAGTATTGACGTTTGAGTGCACGATGGTACAACAGTGAGGGAATAGCCTGAAGCAGGGTTGGATCCAGGGCCCGAACTCGGGGGCTCAAGCCCGGGTTCAGCCCAAATAAAGAGTGAATATCCAACGTAATATCAGTCCACTGTTAGCCCATGCAAGAAGGCCCAATCAGGCCCATCCTCTCATCACTGCTTGGGCAGTGCAGAGGCGCTTCTTCGTCTTTCTCGCGTTGCAGCCGGTGGCGCCCTCTCTACGCCCAATCCAATCCCCATCACCATCCGCGGATCTGCCCATCCTACTCTACTGCCCCACCCTGGCCATTCACCGGGACATGGCTCGCTGGCTAGACGAGGCGCCCAGCGCCCCAGCAGTTACGCCCTTCCAGTTCCGGCTGCAGCATGTCCAGGCACCAGCGGTCGAGGTCAGGGACTCAATCGCTGAGGGCCGATCCAATATCTGCAAGGAGTCAACGACTGGCCTTTTTGTGTTTCTGGTGAATCCGGGTTCATAGTAGACTTAGTGTCCTTCACCAAGTTGTGGATTCGTGATCTTGAGCGGCTACATCTGAGTGAGGCCCAAATCCGCATCATGTTGTCAGTTGTCTGTTATCCTGGAATCGGATTGTCTTTAGACTTCCGGGAGACGTGTTCTTGGTAATCTTGAATGTGTCGGTACTTTCTATTCACTACTAGAACATTACACTATCATTAATTGTTTTTTGCTTGGATTAGCACATTTTTCTCTAGTGATTTCTATTGTTTGTTCGATTCGAATAAGCAGTAGTTATTTTTGCTCGAGGGAAGGGTCCAAGCCTTCAAGGCCTTAATTACAGAGCCAATTGTTTAATTCAACTTGTGCAAAGGTTTAACTCTGCACATCTTAACACCTCGTGGTGAGAAGGCCATGTTTTAACTGTAGCAGTCTATCACCTGATAGCACAATGTTAAACATATATAAACGATACTTAGCCCCTGCTCTGTTTTTCGATCCGCTGCTGGCCTGACGCATAGAAAAGGAAAATTTCTCGCTCTCTGTCACACACGAACAATTGTATTGTGAAAGTAATACGTAGTATCTAATAATCTCATTTGGCAATTTTTTGACATTGTAGCCAAAGAGGATTGTGGCAAAGAATGTTGATGCTGCGGCTACACAAATACTCCGTCAAGTGGAGAACAATCGCAATTCTAATGTGTTCTACTTCGTTGGCTGGCAAGGATGGGGGGCATCAGCTACTCTCAAAGCGGCAGTGCTGCGTCTAAAATCCCCAGGATCCAAGTTTGACAAGGTTATCCATTTGGATTGCTCAGTGTGGAAAAGCAGGAGGGCCCTACAGAAGGCCATTGCCGAGGAGCTAGAGCTCCCCCAATCAGTGATGTCCATCTTGAGCCGGCACGACAAGGAGGATGATTTCAACGGCGTGGAAGAAAGCAATAGAAAGGAGGTACGGGAAATCTATAGGCACATCTACAGAAGGCTTGCCGACATCAATAGGTTAGCTGTGGTCTTCCATAACGGAAGTGGGAGCTACATTGACCTGAACGAGTTTGGTATCCCACTGAATCCAAACTTTGAAGGCAACATGCTGTTGTGGACAGTGCAAGGGAGGTTTAGACCCTCTGTCACACCAGATATTCACAGCATAAATGATCTGAATCCTGGTGGGGTGCACCTTTATGGTAGACTGGCATATACCTATCCTCCATACGGATATGACAAAGATTACATTGACGACGGCCTTGATATTGATAGAAATGGCAGTTTACTGTGGGGCTTTGTGCATGAGGAAGCCAAGGAGGTTGCTCAGTACACCGGTGCCATCGACCACATGGTAGTGGAGGCGTGCATCCTGTACATGTGGAAGTTGCAGGGCATGGGTGGCTTAGATTGGGCTACCCATGCTTCAAACTACTGGGTTTGTGACGGCATTATACAAGGTGGTAGCACTGAAGCATCGGCTTGGAAGATTGGTGACGCACTGCAGAGAAACATACACTTGAATTGGAATTGGAGGTATATGCGCCAAGCCGTTTCTTCCTCAACTGCTCTCCAGCATCATCATTTGGCACGGCCGCCAGTGATTTGCTGCCCTTCATCCTCCTCGAAGATTACCAGTGTGCCTGCGGAAGAGACTTCCTTTTTTCTGTCAAATTATGAAAATGAAGAATCTCCCTCTAGAGGAGTTGCTACTGCTGACACAGCAATACCATTACCAGCTTCTGTGTTCGAACATTCAGCCAGTAGTATGCATGTGCTGCATCTCTCTCAATGCACCTTTAGATTTGCATCTCCACCCTTCCTCTGTTGCAGCAACCTAAGGTTCCTCCTCCTCCACCGTTGCGAGGACGACGGCACAAGTATCACACCAGAGGACAAGGAGCTTGACCAGAGTGGAGCATGGAGGGCTTGTTTCTGGAAGCTGCGAGTATTGGATTTGAGCTACACAGACTGGTGCTGGTTGCTGTCAGAAAGGATGATGAACATAATGGCCAACCTCAGAGAGTTGAATGTAAGGGGAATCAAGAATTGGAGCACAAGTGATTTACCTGGTGGTGGCAGCCTTGTCAAGCTCCGAGTAACAGATGACAATGTTGCTGATCTGCCCAGATCCGTTGGCGCAAGCTGTGCTGACACACAAAGATTAATATATGAAAACTCTGCTACGCTGGAACAAGCCGTCCTCGTCAACAATGCTACTTATGATGTTGAAAGTGAAGGTGCTACGGTCAACAGGCTATGCAACATCTCCTTCCGTGGCTGTGCTCAGTTGAGGAGTATAATGCTGAGAGGATTGCTTGGGTGCCTCCACGAGCTGGACCTCTCTTGCACAGCATTGGAAACCCTCGACTTGCGGGAGGTAGAAGCCCGGGGACTGAAGCAGCTCATCCTACTAGGCTGCCAGAAGCTTCGAGCAATACTGTGGCCACAAGGTTCATCGTCTATTACTGCGACCCTGGACGTGTTCCGTATGAGCACCACCACCCAGTTCGCAGCATTGGACCAGCAATCACCGCATCTATGTAGATGGGAAGAAAATAGCAAGGAGGCCAACTCTGCATCTATCATAGGATCATCGTCTATTTCTGCATCCTTTGACAGCGACTGGTACATTTCTGTAAGGGACGCGAGACTCCTTCGGTCACTTCGAGACTTTCACACCAGCCAATACAATAGCTATCCCATTAGCAGGCCCGCACGTGTTGAGATATCTTCACCACCGGCATCTGGTGCTTCTGTTGCTGCTCAAGGAACCAGTATCTTGCAGCAGCCTGTACATGATGTAGCAACGGCATATGCGGGAGATGCCATCACTCGTAACCAACTTATTCAGTATGAGGCTGCTGCTGCTGGAGATGATGGTAGTGATGGTGAAGGCGCAATCCGCTGGATCTGGGATTGCCCGACGACCGGGACGATGCATGGTCATGGCTGGTACATCCACGTACAAGATGATGAAGAGGATGATGAGCAGGAGGGAGAGAATGAATCACAAGGCAGCACAGACGGAACACGGACTATGCCCCCTGAGTTTATATGCCAAAGTGCTAACGTTCTGCACGTACATGATAGCTGGTCCATCACCGCCGGCATCCCGCTGTCACCAGATGTATCATGGGACCGTCTTCAGTGGTGCCGAGTTGAGATGTGCCCGAGGCTGCGATCTGTCTTCACTACCTTCCGAGAAAAGGAGTTTATAAGGTGGAGGACCAGTATGACTGGGTCCAAGATATTTCCATATATGACAACATTCTGGGCATCAAGGCTCCCGATGGCAAAGTACGTTTGGAACTGGAGTTCAGAAGGTCAGCCCGATGGCTACTACTCGTCGTTTAGGTCCCTGCAGTTCTTGCACCTCGACTACTGCCCTAGAGTCATCCTCGTGCTCCCCTTGTACAAGTATATGGAATTGCCTCGGCTTGAGACCCTTGAGATCGTATGTTGCGGTGATCTTAGGGAGATTTTCCCATTGAACACCAGACCCGAGGAGCAAGAAATCGTCAAGAATTTCCCCAGGCTGCGGCGCATCCACCTCCACAACCTCCCGATGCTACACAGCATCTGCGGCCGCATGATGTCTGCACCGATGCTCGAGACTCTCATTGTCACGGGCTGCCCGGCCCTCAGGCGCGTGCCGGCCGTCGGGGGCCGCCTCGCGCAGCCACCCACGGTGGTGTGCGAGAAGGACTGGTGGGATGGCCTCGAGTGGGTTGGGCTGGAGGCGAAGCACCACCCTTCCCTCTTCCACCCCAGGCACTCACGCTACTACAGGAAGGCCAAGCTGCTCAGAGGCACCGTCCTCAGGTTAGGTGATCGATCAAGCAACATAATAATTGCATGCTCACGCATTCACTCATTCATTCCATGCTGTAGCGTAGGCATATATGTTACTCACTTACTCATCACTCTGTTGACCAATTTATTATATATGTTGCAGGTAATCAATCATCAGCCACCATTGGTAGACGACAATCACATGGAGATGGACGGACCCCTCCACTCCCTATATATGTTGCAGGTTGCATCGCATCGGCATCCAATGCTGACGACAGCTGATCAAATAAGACGTACTCCTAGTAACAAGCTTCTCATTGTCATCGTCCTCTTCGTCATGTGGCTGGTTTCCTCTGCTTCAACTGTGTTGTTGTTCTGCGTCCTCTGCATCAACATCATCACCACTGGTTTGTTGTCTACACCTTCTCATGCTGTTTCTTCGCTGAGGAAGATTAATATGTATTTTATGTGATGTATTTATCTATTCGGTACCCTGATTGCTATATAATTATGTGTGTTTTATGTGATGTATCTGTGTATTCAGTACCCTGATTGCTAAATAATTATGTACCCATAAATCCATGTTCCTGTACAGGCTAGACTATTATGAGACATAAGTATTAAAAAGTTTGTGTTTAGTACCTACTCCTACTTGTCTTTGCACTCTTTTCTCGTTGTTCTTTTCGTAATGTGGTGCCCATATAGATACACTATAATTAGGGACCAGAGGCTAGATTAGCCCTCTGCGTCATACTCCCTATGTCCTGTAACACAATGCATTCTAAAAATTTTAATATAAATTATGAGATTGGAATACTCAAATGACGCATTTGCCCATAGATTAAACTCAATTAAAGAGTTTCTCCCCGAATTATGGTTTCATTTTTAACGAACTTTGTCAAATCCAAGCAAGAGCACAACATAGAATGTATTACATTATTTTCAGTACAAATTTGGAAGTCATAATGTATTGTGTTTTAGGATGGAGGTTGTAGGACACTAGGAAGCAAGGGCCCCTCTAGTGAGAGTGCACCCGTTAGGATTCAAACTTGGATCCCTTACTCCAATGCTAGAGCAGCTAGCCACCCAAGCCTCCTACCCGTCGCTATAGATTCACTGTAATTGTTATCCATTGTGATGACCTTATCTATTTGTCTATACTAGCCTATCAATACATGCTTCTACAAAGGCTAAAATATTAGGAGACGTCTTAATATTACCATTACCTATTGGATGACAGTCAACATGGAAATCTAGACATTGACGGACCTAATCCAGAACGATTCGAACCCCTCACAAGCATTACACCATATAGCTCCGTTGGTTATCAACCGTGTGTGGTACGATTGACATTGCCAAGAAGGCTTATCCTTGCATATAGATCGAGAACCCAAGCAAAAACATAGGAGATGCAAATTCAAACATTGCTATCAAATATTGCTAATATGACACTGAAGGCCTATGAACTCTATTACCCGAAATTTCAAATTCCGGTTGAACTATTACAAGCCTAAGTTTCCATAAGCTGAGCAGCTCGCTTCAACATGTTTTGTACTCCCTCATGAGAGATTCCCTAATGCAACGTAGTTCCTTGATGATGTTTCCTGTTGACATTCTATTTGACGGCATTTTGTGAGAGCACGACACTCTGAGCAGTGGAATGAGACAATCCATCTTTGTTTTGCCTGAAAACTTGTTGGCATTCGGAAGCTCATTCTCGAGGCCTAAAGAGAGCTGGGTGTCAACGTCCAGCTCACCACCATTCAGCCCCAGCTCAACAAACACACGGAGGCTCAGTCCTCTAGTGAAGTTGCTCTCAGTCGGCTTCCTCCCAGTGACTGTTTCAAGCACAAGAATTCCGTAACTATAAATATCTCCCTGCGTTGATACCATGTTCCCTGCACGGCTGCACCATACTCTGTTGCATCACAGATTCAAGAAAATCAGAGCAGGAAGTCAGTAACATTCAAGTGGAAAAATATAAGGCAGATTCAAATAACACAAAAATCTTTCGAAAAAAGATTCTAATAACACCATTTTTTTTACATAAAAACCAGAGCTACATGCATTATTTTTGACAGAACTAGGCAACAACAAATGTAAACAAGTGGAAAAACAGAAAACATATACAACTAACCTGGGGGAGCATAACCAACCGTCCCTCTAAATCCCATTGAGCTCATTGACTGGTGAGAAAACGGGGATGTGTCAACAATAATCTTAGCAAGTCTGAAGTCTCCAACACGGGCCACCATCTCAGAATCTAAAAGCACATTGCTTGGTTTCAGATCGCAATGGACAACAGGTACAGGGCCATGCCAATGTAGATAATCAAGAGCATTAGCCACATCGATCAGTATGGTAACTCTCTGAAGGAGATTTAAGAACTTCTGCTGCTCTGTTTGGTCGTCATTTGTCTCGTCATACAACCAGCCTTCTAAACTTCCACTGGGCATGAAGTCAAACACGATTGCTTTGACGTCATTCCCTCTGTTATCAATGCTTGCGCAGGCTGTAATTATCTTCACAAGATTTCGATGCCTTAGGTTTCGTAGTGCTTCACATTCAGTGGTGAAACTCTTGAGTGCCCCAGGAGTCTGAAGTTTTAGTACCTTCACAGCTACAAGATTTGTAGTCTCACCAGGATTCTCTTCTAACTCTCCTTTATACACAGATCCAAACGACCCAGAGCCCAATAAATTGGTTGTTGAGAAACCATCTGTTGCTTTCACCAACTGTGAATAAGAGACCAAAGGATGGCCTTGCATTGGCATTGTTGAGGGGATTTGTTCTTTGCTTTTCTTGTACCAAGTAATAAGCTTGTAGAGCAATGCAAGAATGAGAAGTGTTGCGATGAGAGGAATAAGCACAGGTACTAACGGAAATTTATGTTTTTTCTTTGGTTGTTGCAAAGAACAAGGGGTCAGATGTAGATTAGGTATGCCACCACAAAGTTTGCCATTTCCATTTATTGAGATTCCAGAAGCATTTGAAAAAACGCCTACAGTGGGCACTTCTCCAACAAAGTTGTTGAGGGAAAGGTTCAGTAAATAGAGCATAGTCATATCTCCTAAGAACATGGGTATCTGCCCTGACAAATTATTTCTCGAGAGATCCAGAGTTTGAAGACTTTTCAAATGGCTTAGAGCTGATGTGATGCTACCATCGAAGAAATTATTTTGCAGATAAAGATGCTGTAGAACTTGGCATTCACCAAGGGTGCTAAGGAATTTCACCTGATAATTTGTTCGATTCTGCATGGAACTCAATAAGATTTTTGAGCTTCCCTACTTCTAGTGGTATTGAACCCTCCAAGTTATTATGTGATATGTCAAAGAGCATTGATAATGTTTGGATGTTGAATAATGTGCTCGGTATTGGACCATTCAAGTTATTAGTTGTAAGACTTAATGATGACAACTCTGTGAGGTTTCCAAGAGTTTCTGGAATTCTACCACTGAACGCATTCATGCCGAGCCACAAAAAAATTAGTTTAGTAAGATTTCCTAAGGTTAATGGGATTGGCCCGCTTAAGTTGTTTTGAGCTACAGTGAGACCAGCCAAGTTTGTAAGCATTCCAAAGGAAGAGGGAAGGTTTCCCGTGAATAAGTTATATGAAAAGTCAAGAGTACGCAAACTGATAAGACGACTAACATCTTCAGGAATACTTCCTGAGATTTTGTTGTTTCCAAGGGCAAGAATTTGTAGGGAAGTGGAAAGATTGGAAATTGAATCAGGAAGAACTCCTCCAAACCTATTAGAAGACAATCCCAGCTCCTGTAACTGGGAACAATTCGTTAGTTGGGTAATGAGCTCCCAATCCTTTGGTTCTTTAGCTTCAAATAAGTTGCTATCGAGAAGAAGGACCACGAGCTTCTTTAACCTTCCAATCTCCGGGGAAATAACGCCTCTGAAAAAATTACCATCGATCTGAAGCAGTGTCATATTGGAAGCATTGGCTACTGAGACCGGGAAGTAACCATGGAACAAGTTGTTGTTCATGAATAGCTGGCGGAGACGTGGAAGGGCACTGAATGCATTTGTTGGTATCGTGCCAGTAAGCATGTTGTACTGGACAGAAAACCTTTTCAGAGACGAGATATTCCAAATAGAAGTTGGAATTGCTCCAGTCAGGTTGTTGAACCCTACTTGAAGATCCAACACACTACGCAGCTGTCCCAGAGACGATGGGATCTGCCCTGATAGCCTGTTTTCTGTAGGTATAGTTGGATGATACTGGTGAGATTGCCTAAAGCAGGTGGGATCTCACCAGACAGCATGTTCAAATCTAGATATAGGCGTTGGAGTGATGTCAGCTCTGCCAGAGATCGAGGGATCTCTCCTGACAGATTGTTCTTCCAAAGGGACAAGTAAGTCAGATTTGACATACCAGCGCCGAACTGGAGAGGGATAGCACCTTGGAGGTGGTTGTGGCTGAGGTCCAGCAACGTCAGGTTGGTGCAACCTCGAGGGATGGCCGCTGGAATGCTTCCTTGGAGGGTGTTTTCGCTCAGGTTCAGGCTCCGGAGCCTGCTGAGAGTCGTCGTCAACGTCAAGTCAAGTGGGGACCTTAGCCATACCAGTCTTTAGTCTGTGTACTAGAGAGTCCTTCAACTGTAGGAGATTAGAATGGAATTGTTAATGTACTATTGCTTAATCCTCATGGGCTCGCTGCTCCAGGTCCATGAATCATTGTCGGATCTAAATCCGGCGTCACTACCGAATTCAAACCTAGCGCACAGGGTCATGGTTGGGAGTTGTCCTTAATGGGCAGTCATTCCTTAGCGATTTTGGGCTTTTGGCATGGAACTGAGTACCTCTTCAGCTAGGTTTCTAGTAAGAAACCAGCTCTTCACGGAAACAAGTAGCAAAAATTTTGGCATGGAACCGAGTACCTCTTCATCCGGGTTAGTCCCTCTAGTCTGGTTTATAAGGCATTCACGTATATCAAGATTCAAACAAATCTTTGACCCCTAATTTAGCCAATAAATTTGACTATTGAATACAAACTTGATACGGTTAGATTTGTAATCTAATTAATGTCCTATTCAATGATTATAAGTTTGTAATCATAAAAATATAATTTAAAATTTTAAACATATGAATAGTTAAAGTGTAATTTATATGATCGTACAGTATCATGTTAGATTATGTAACTCATAATGATGCTTCTTCACACAAACCATGACTAGATACCGGAGTAATTGTTGGTTTCCGGGTCATCCAGTGGTCCAAAGGCAAACGATAGGCAGTCTTTGGCAGCAACTGATATTCAGTGGCTC